AAAGCTCCTTTAGAACAAATATCAAATATATTTGCATTTTCCCTTACAGCTGGAGCTATAAAGAAGCAAGAAGATGAAAAGGCAGAAATAGTGACAAAGCCAGCTATCTTAAATGGAGGTGGTATGAAGGAAAGTGCTGAAGCTCATGGCACTATACAGTAAGACAAATTTAGCAAAATTATAATCTATTATATATTTGAGAGAGTTTGTCTGTCTGTCCATCCCTCTGTTTGTTCAAGGACACCTCCTAAATGACAAGAGCTAAGACCACAAAATTCTGTATACAGCTTCCTCTTATCATAACTTAAAGCAAGGTCAGGGTTTGGTTGTGCCAAGAAAATGGGATGTGCCAAGAATGGAATTGCTTCTCATGAAACCATAGAGAAAAGAGGCAGGATCACCAGGCAGGTAAGAATCACCAGGCTGATAAAAAGGGTTTGCTGAGGGCATTCCTCCCATCTGGATTGCCCTATCCCCGAGCCTCCCATTCCCCTGGCACCCTTTACTGAGGGAGAGGAGGCTGAAGCTCCCCTTGCACCTGGATTCATCTGGGAACATAGCTGGATGTTTCCCTCCATCAGGGAGGGGAAAATGCGCTCTTTGCTGAATTCCTCACTCTGGCGTGGGAGTGCGGGGAACAGAAGAACCTGGACCTTCCCCAGCCAGAGGACCCGCACCCCTCCCTCGGCTGTGCCTGCTGGAACTCCAGTGTCCATGGAGAGATGCTTCTTAACTGGTTCAAAGCTGCTGCGGTGAGAGAGTGCAATGACCTTCTCTCCCAGGGAAAGCTTACAGGACTGACCCCCTTATCGCCAGCCCCACCACAGAGCAATTATTTAAATGAAGCATGTACATTTTCATTTTATTTTTCAAAAAACAAATATTAATTAAGGACCCATGCAAAGCTGGATAAATCTTCTAGTTAGAGAGAAAGAGAGAGAGAGAGAGAGAGAGAGAGAGAGAGAGACGTATGTGTATGTTCTATACATTGAAATTAAACCTCTCTGGGATGTACCGTGTTTCCTTGTAGCATCGTTTCAGTATACCATTTCCAATTAGTAAGGAGGTCAGATCAGTACAATTAGTCAGATCAGTACAATTAGTCAGATCAGTACAGACATCACACCTCTACCAATAAATATAATTATTTTAGTGCTAAGTTGTTGCCTTGTTTTGATAGTATGTCTTGGATTTGAATGAGAGAGAAGAAAGGGAAGGGGAAGTTTTTAATCCTGTCTGGCCTGGTCTAGACTAACAAGGAAGGTCAACTTAAGATATTCAACTCTAGCTATGTTAATTACATTGCTGGAGTCAAAGTATCTTAAACCGTATTTTGGCGCTGTCCACAAGCAGGAGGCTGATGGGAGAGTGTGCTCCTAATGACTTCCCTTACTCCTTCTGAGGAGCAGGACTACCAGCACTGATGGATATGCCCTCTCAGTTTGAATTAGCATGTCTTGGGATGTTAAATATAGCTTAATTACTAATCAACTAGTCGATGGACTTTCCATCAACTAGTGATTAGTTGATAAGTGGGGAAGTCACAGTGGGGTTAGGAACCGCAGAAGCCCCAGGAGTTAACCCCATCATGGCTCTGCTTTTTAAATATATTAAAAGGCTTTAAAAGGCTGGTGCGCAGCAGGGAGGACCCAGTGTTAGCTGGAAATCAGGCTCTTAATACATTTAAAAAGCAGAGTCGCAGCATCTGGAACTGGGCACGAGTCAGGAATCATGATTCCTGGCTTGCACCTGGTCCCCACTGCTCCCCCTGCAGAGACGGTACTAGGGGAACCGGGTTTTAAGCCAGCTCCCCCCAGCATCAGCTCCTTTTGTTTATTGGATAGTTGACTAGTCCACTAGTCGCTTACATACCTACACTAGACCCACTAATTCAAACCTTGAAAGATCAACTACAGCAATTTCAGTCTTCTCTGTAGTGTAGACAAGCCCCCTGTATATACTAGAGTTGTTGCCTACAGTGTCCCAATAAATTATTTAATTTCTGTATTACAACTGGTGGCTGTATCTTCAAGATGACAAAGCTTCCAGGTGAGACTAGAATCTGTGTGTACTTAACAGAGACTGAGCTATTGCTCTTTATAAATTAGTGGACGAATGAGAAAGCAATATAGTATTTACCCAGTTTCTGGATGGTGATGCCAAAGCTTTTTGCTAGCACCTTCCAAGTACAAATCATGGATCTTACAGAAAGTTACACAAACATTTATACACTGCTTGGTGTGGGAGGGCGAGTTGGCTCTTTTGAAGTACAAGACAGAACAACAAGCCAGTAGGCATGAGAAAGGTAGAATTCCTACATCGTTATTTGTGGGCATTAAGGAGATTGTTAAATAGGACTTTTCCTGCACCACTCTGTCCAAAATGTGAGTGATGTACTGTGTCAAATTTGGAAAAGGAATGCAGAGAGGGGAAAAAGCGGCAAGGAGTCCTGTGGCACCTTATAGACTAACTGCAGTGTAGGAGCAAAAGCTTTTGTGGGCAAAGACCCACTTCGTCAGATGCATGCAGTTTAATAGGGGAATTTAAACTGTTGTGAAGAAAGATAACATGCTGGATAAAACTATGGACCTGATTATATACAGAGTTACAAATGTGCAGAAACTGGGTTTCCTCAAAAGTATCAGCTGTTAATGGCCAGATTCATGGTGACTCCTCTATTCCAAATGCAGCATGTTCAAGAAATAATTGCTAGTGAAGTGACTAAAAATGCTGAAGAAGGCACAGGTGTAAACTATTTTCAGATGTCTCATGGATTTCATGAGCCAGACTGTTTCCTGAATGGTTCCCAGACTAAATGACATTTGCAGGCAAAGTGGAGGAAAAGACTACTGGAGTCAGAATTTAATGAACACAGGAATCCACATTGGAGAAGCTAAAAGTTGTTGAGGCAGTAGGGTCAGCTTCAGCAATTATTAGCATGGGCCATGTGAAGAGCTGGCCAGATACCTGTTACTGAATGGTTACTGTCTAGAGAAATAGACAGATGGAAAACCACTGTTACTGTCTAGAGACATAGATGGAAAACCACTTGAATTATATCTGATTTATGGAGAACACAGAGTGCTAAAAGGAAAAAAGGTTTATGCAGGAGGTAAAATAATAAGTATTAATCATCAATCACTGCAGAAAATGGAAGAAATCCAACTCCAGCTGAACTCAGTGTTTTTGCACAGCAGATGGGATTTTGTTGAAGTGACCAATATTTCTTGTTGTATTAGGAGTAGATTTCTTCCAAGAGCATCACAAAAACCCTTGGGCTGTATCTAGACTGGCAACCCTGGCTGTCTCTAGACTTGCCAGCTGTCTACACTGGCCGCTTGAATTTCATTTGCGTAAGAACACTGACGATCTAAGATTGTCAGTGTTCTTGCAAAATACTATGCTGCTCCCATTCGGGAAAAAGCCCTCTTGCACAAATGTATTTGCGCAAGAGGGACAGTGTACACAGCTAAAAACTGTTTTGCACAAAAAAGCCCCGATGGCAAAAATGACGATTGGGGCTTTCTTGCACAAAACCGCGTCTAGATTGGCACGGACGATTTTCCACAAAAAGTGCTTTTGCGCAAAAGTGTCCGTGCCAATCTAGACGCTCTTTTCCACAAATGCTTTTAACGGAAAAACATGCCAGTCTAGACGCAGCCTTGGAGTGTTAATAAACCACATTTTCCTTAGGACAATAATCAGATACCTCTTCTGAATATGAGTAGGAAGAAGTGTTGCTCCTGAAGGGCAACTCTTGGGGCCTTAGAAATGTCTCTACTACCAAGGGTGACAGAAATGAACCGCTTCCTGTGGTTCAGAATAAAACTGTGGTGAAGCCAGGTCATCATGTAATAATACCTTTAAGAATAAAGGACTGTTGTAGTGAACCCATAGGAATAGTGGAAGCTACAAATATCCACTTTGAATTCCTGCTTGGCAGAAATTTGTTTCAAACTGCGTAAAATGAGGACTAGCCAGGAATGAAAGCTAGCGAAAAATAAGATAAGGAGGAAAGTATCCAATGTAACTGATGTCCCAAAGCCTCTCATGGAACAGAGGTCAAGAGCTGTGAAGCAATTCCTTCACTACAGGTTGAACCTCTCTAGTCTGGCACTCTCTGGTTCAGCAATATCCATTGTCCAGCATGATTTCAGGTAACTGGATGTGTGGCCAAGATTCCCACAGTCCCATAAAGTTGCTTATAGCCACCAGTCCTGGCTCTCAGTGTTCTGCGCTGTTATTTAGTTAGTAATTTACCCATAAATGTCTTCAAAGAGCAGTGGAAGTTTTGGTAATGCTGTTAGATAATAGAGTCTTAGGGTGCATCTAGACTATGGGGGGAGGGGGAGAGAGGTTTCAGAAAAAGGCCATTTTTCAAAAAAATCTTCACCTACTTCCACACTGCAACTGTATTCTTTTGAAAGAAGCTTGAAGTCTAGATGTACCTTAGTGAAGCCCAACAAGACTGGGACTCAAAGACATCTTTTGTCATCTCTGCACAGAACATCAGCCAGCATGCAACTGTCCTCTCTTCCCTACGCGATTATTTTTGACTCTGCGAATTCATGCTTCCTTGTGAATATTCAAGCAGCAAAAAATATTCAAGCAGCAAGGCCCCCTGTACCTCCACTGGTGTATGATACGGATGAGTCTTATATCTGACATGAAGACAGCATTCCAGAAGATGGAGGAAAAGTGAGCTGGAAGCAAATATGCCAGGAATAAGATACCAGGAAATAGGTGAATTATGAGCTAATCCAGGAAAAGGAATGGCTACAGGACCAGAAAAAGCAGTCTGGAAAAAATTCCAAAAGTATATCTTTTAGGAGAGAACTTTACATAATAATTAAGAAAACAAACAACTTATTTTACTGTTACAAAAATCAAGAGCTCACCCCTCTGCAGTGCATTCAAAACTGGTGCACAGATTCACTGGGGGAAAAAAAGGAAAGACAAACACTGAGGATATTCAATAATCATCCCAATGGAATACTGAAAGGGATTTGGAAGCATCCCAGCAGATTCCTATAGATATGGGAGACCAGTCATGGAGAAGGAATTGTCAGGGTGTCTTCAGGACCTCAAGACACTATAATCTAACAAGGAGGTCATCTTATCAGCTTCTTGTAACTTGAACACGCTAATTCACTTTTTTAACTTCCTCCCCTCCCCCCTTTCCCTTATTTATTCTTGGATCTGGACTTTTAATGCTCCATTCCTCTGAAGAAGTAGGCTGTATCCACAAAAGTTCATGATACCATCTACATGTTTTGTTAGACTTTGAGGTGCTGCTAGACTTTTTGTTGTTTTTTTAAGTTTATGCATTCACTGATAATCTAGATCCAAGTATGAATGAAGACTTAAGACCTACATTGAAAACTCTGTAGATGGAAAACTTCCTTAATACCTAGGAGCTACTACAGTGAAACTTTTATTACTGCTTTTTCAAATACTTTTTAACCAGAGAGGGGAAGTTTTAATTATCAGTGTAAACAGAACTCCCACCAGTAAATGATGCTGTATCTTTCTCTTGTAACTAAGTTGTCTTGTTTTGATACTATGTTGTTGGATCTAATCAGGGTGAGGTATGTAGGAAGTTTTTAACCTCGGTTGGCATGCCCAAATTGTTATTTGCAGCATCCCAATAAATGTTTTGATTTCTATAAGCAACTATTACACTAACCAGAGTAGCATTAGCTACTCTTCAAGTTGTACTATATTGCACAATTTTTATTATCTAAGTTTTGTGTTTGTATTTGTATTTTATGATCCATTATATATTGTAATAAACACACTAATTAATTATAGATTTGGATTCACTTCCAATAATTTGTCAGTTAATAACCTAGTTAATTATAAGAAAGCAAACAATGTAATACTTCACTAAATGCTGCAGAGTGCTTAATAATTAATTAAATTAGCAAAATTGCTGTCCATATTCTGCTTGCACAAAGTGAAGAGTGGTGATTTTTAAGGGTTTCCATGTACTTCTCCAGTGTGGAATCCAAATAGATTTGTTTTGGAATCACACCTTTTGGATGAAATCCTGTTGCCATTGAAGTCATTAACAACAGAACCCAGATTTCACTCTTTGGCCTGGTGTACACTACATGGGAAGGCTGAAGTAAGATATGGAACTCCAGCTATGTAAATTATTTAGCTGGAGTTGACATATCTTAAATCTCCATCCACACAGCAGGAGGTCGACAGGAGCAAATGCTCCTGTCAGCTTCCCCTACTCCTTGTGAGGAGTAGGAGTAGTAGCACCAACAGGGGTGCTCTTTTGGTTCAATCTAGTCAGCCTATACTACAACCGCTGGAGGATCAACCGCGGCAGCATCGATCTTCCATGTAGTGTAGACTTGCCCTTTGTGTTTTATGAGTTGAAGAAATCTTACATAAATATGCAGTAGGATATTTAAAGGTTATATAGAGACTTATCTTCAAGTGACTATGTATTTTTAATATGAAACGGAATAGATTTTATCCAGCCAATATTAAAAACATTTTAAGACCTAGAATTGTGGACTATACTATCTTACTAATAAAAGCCAGGTATTTAACTAGGCTTGCACATTATTTTTTCATATTCTATTGTATTTTTCATATTAGCCCCTTCCTTACTTGCATTATGAACTACAGACACATGATGAATCTGCAAAGTCTCTTTTTTGTTAGCTGAAGAAATGATTAAGAATTATTTACCTTAAATTGCTTCATTAATATAAGACCAGCATTGTTTTAGTAATTTTTGCACTTTTTTTTCATTAACATTTAGTGAAAACTGGGTGAACAGTGTCACTAATATTTAATTACAATTACTGATTGAAATCATTAAGGCCTAATCCTGAACCCCTTATTTATGTAAGTAATCATTACTCATGCCAATAGTCTGATAGACTTAAATAGGACTACTTCCTTGAGTAAGATTTAGTTGTGTGAGTGAAGGCTCTAGAATCATGCTTGTTGTTACTTCTATATTTGCACTAAAAGTAGGCCCAAGTTCTGTAGTCTGCACCTGGACTTCTATTCCTCCTCATTGTGAAGGCATTCAGATCCAGGAACTTGGTTCTGCCCATTACAGATAACAGAAGGTAAATGCAAAATTCAAATCTGAGGTTGGATTTCAAACAACCTTCTAATTAAAATCTGGTGGTGTTTAGACTCGTGTTTTGATACATTTCTTTTTTTCTACAATGAGTAGTCTATATTTCTTGACAATGTAGCTGTGAAACAAGAACTCTGAAATCTTTGCATTTACTGAAATTATCTCCATATCATATTACAGAATTTTTCATCCCATTTTAAAAGAATACTTTGAAGATACGTAATATCGTGCCAGCAGTATTCACCACAATATTCACAATAACATTTCATTTATTGTTTCAGGACAGAAAAAGTGGATGAAGTTATTAAAGAATGGGAAGGATCTTTCTTTAAGGACAATCCTCATTTAAGGAAAAAATCTGTTTCTTTGCGCTTTGATCTTCATCTAGCAGCAACAGACGATGGATGTTTACAGACTAAACAGAATAACCTACCCGACATTGAAGTCAGGCTAGTAATGAGAAGGTCTTGCAGTATTCCATCTATCAAACCTTAAACTGCAGCAAAAAATCTCAAGGGTCATTTAGGATGAGTATTCGAAATAAATAATCTACAGGGACCACACAGCTTCCCCTTATGTTGTCACAACTATGAATGTTACTAAGCATATGCTTTAATAAATATGAACATTGTGAGGTTCTCTTAATTGAAAGAAAGTAGGGTAAAGGTATTGTATTTCAAGAAAGATAACTCTTACTCATTTTTTACTCTTTATTCATTTGGGATTTTTTTCCAAAAAACTTGCTTTGCCTTCTCGAATTTCATCAAATATTTAAACACTGAACTACCATTTTATCTTTACATCGCTTTTGTAGCCAAGAACCTCACATAATGAAAACCGATCATTTTGTTTTCTTAGTTTTTCAATATAACAAACACAATGAACCCTCATATCACTTATAATACAAAAGTATCATGCTGTGAGGTGCACATCTAAAATTATTTTTAACTGACTTTTTCTCCTATGCATCCATGCACATATTTTGTTAAGACTGGTTTTACAAGGAAGTAATATTGAACAATATCATGTCTTTGATTTTTAGGGAGAATTCCCCATTAAAATCAATTCAGGGTTTTACATGAAAACTGAAGAGCTGATATACACCATAGAGTTTACTATATCTATCAGTTTCTCATTTTCTTTCTCTCTGAGTTCTAGTGAAATATAAAGAGCAAAATCCAGACCACTCTGTAATCAATAGGAGATTTGCAACTGATTTAATCTGAGCCAGGATTTCACTTGATATGAAATACAAAATACTAGACCTAGTCCCAAAAGTCCTTCTTGCATGAAATTTCATTACTTCATTAGTAGTTCAAAACACAAAAGTCTTGTAGGATCAGCCCCATTGTGTATAGGTTGGACCTTCCTGGTTCAGCATTCTCGGGATCTGACTGGTCCCGAATGAGGGATTTTGGCAGACCAGGGGAGGTCATATCTGCCACACAGTCCTGGACGTGCCTCAGGCTCCTCTACTCTGCCGGTTCCCATCCTCCCTTGCCTGATACACCCAGCAGTCCAGATGGTGCACACAACACAGTCCTGCTGCAGTGCGTGCCAGGCAGCCCCGCTGGGGCACTCTGGGTCCCATTAACACTCCCAGATCCACCAGGCAGCCACACTGAGCAACTCTGCAGGGGTGCACCAGGCTTCCAGCCCTGTTAGGAAGCCTAATTAGGGCATGCCAGGCAGCTCAGGTGTGGGGAGCTGGGCTCCTGGCCTGGTTGGCCACTCACTGCCAGCAGCCTGCAGTCCTGCCAGCCCAGAGGGTTCCTAGACACCAGCACTACACCTTAACCTCAGCCTCCTGGACCACAGATGTGCCCAGACAAGAGACTACCGGTTTACAGAGGTTCAACCTGTACTAGAAATATCAATAGGCTTTACGATATAGTAGAACCTCAAAGTTACAAATTGAGCACACAACTATATATCTCATTGGGAACTGGAAGTACACATAATCAGGCAACAGTGCTAAATATAAACTACTGAAATAGTAAAAAATGTTAAAAAATTGACAACATAAGGAAACTGTTCCTGTACTTATTTCATTTAAATTAAGATAGCTAAAAGCAACATTATTCATCTACATAGTGAATTTTCAAAGTTGCATTAAGATATTTATTGTGTATTTTAAAATTAGCAACCATAATGTTTTGTACAGTTACAAACATTTCACAGTTAGAAACATCCTCCAAACCAAAGGTGTTCCTAACCCTGAGGTTCTACTGTATAGGTATTATATAAATATACTAACTAAAAAATCCTAGAACTGCTTCTCCTTCTGGACTAATATATCTGCATTATTAGCTGAGCAATAAGTAAAATAGTTCCTTGAAGTTGTTAAAAATGTGGCCATCCCACATATTTGAAAATACAATTATTTTCATACCTCTCCAAATGTTCCAATAAGTGTTGAATTAAAGGAATTTGTATAAAATCCTTTTAAAAAAAGTAATATATGCTGTTGGTTTACAGTATTTGGAATATCATTATTATGCCTGGGCTTATTTACTGTATAGCTCATTAAATTATTCAGATAAAGACTACAAATTTAAGTCAACATTTTACTATGCCTTTAATGGTATCTTTCACTGCTAATTCAAAGCTAAATGAGCAAACCTCAGCTGTTAAATAGCTGTCTTTTCACAGGAAAACAGAAATATAAATATGTACACACATTTTCTTTAATAGACTATGAAACTAGGTTTAAAAAATGTATGTGTTTAGGTAAGAATGACAATTTACTTGTGAAGAATTTCAAAGGTGTTGGCCTTGCAAACTAAACTCTAACTGAAGTACAGAGAAAAGCCGGTGTTTCCTGCTGTTCCATGTTAGCATGTCAAAATTTTATTCAGGTGTCAGCAATTGTTCAGTTACTTATGGCATGCAAATCAGGTACTGACACTGTAAATTTAATCCAGTATTTAGTTAACTATTTCTGACTTGGATTAGTGTAAAAAACATGCATTTTTACTCCAAGCCATTCTTCTATATTTATTGTACTAAGCCAACTAATTAACATTAACCTTAACAGTCAAATATTGAGCTGGTGTTAATGGAATACTTGGCATCCTGAATGTAATAGCTTGTCCTAGTAATTCCACTATGCAGCTTTTTTGTGTTTATAATATTTATCTTTTACAATACTTGAATATAAACTAAAATAAAACTACTTTGAGGCACTTTGAACAGGGATATGAAGTTACCAAAGTAAATTATACCATTGCAATAAAGAATAATAAAATAGACCCTGAAACTGCATAGTATGTGATTTTTGACATGCACTTCCATTTAAAAGGGAAGTGGAGGGGGGCATGCACACACACACACACACACACACACACACACCTCCCTCTCTCCTACCTCCTAAATCTAAAAAGAATGCAGTGTGGGTTGGTTGGATGTCTCTGGTCCAGCAACTTCGGGACAAGAAGAGAATTTGCTGGATGAGGGGAGGTGTTCCCTGCTAATGGCCCGAGTCAGCTGGCCTCCTGCCTCTGGCCCCCCCTACCTCCTCCCTAGCCAGGCTGTCTGCCCTGCTACCACCGGTTCCCCAGCCCCAGGTTGTCACAGGTGTCCAGGGTTCTCCAGCCTCCAGACCCACAGTGTCGTAGGCTGCCAGGTTTCCCAGCTCCACGCTGCCGTGGGCGTCCAGGGTTCTCTGGCCCCTGATCCCATGCGGCTGCAGGCTACTGGGGTTTTCTCTGTCCCCATGCTGCCATGGGAAGCCAGGCTTCTCCAGCCCCCAGTCACATGTTACAGCGAGCAGCTGGGATTTTCCAGCCCCTATCTGCATGCTGCTGCGGGCAGCCAGATTTCTTCAGCCCCCCAGCTCTGTGTTTCCACGGGCATCCAAGGTTCGCTATTCCCACATTGCTGCGGGCTGCTGGGATTTTCTGGCATGGCCCAGGCACTTTTGTGGTGCTTCGGCCCACTGCACCAGGCCAGACTGCTGGACTTCCTACCATTACACTCCAGGCTCACTAGACCACAAGTACTCATGGATCAGCTGTTGCTGGACCAGAGAGTACCAGTTTTATGAGGTTCAACCAGTACTGCAAGTACTCTAGCATCATGACCCATGCTTGCTATCGATCTCCAAAAGTAGTACTATCATCCAGGTTTCGTATGGATCTAGTATATCTTCATCATAATTTATTATTATTAATATTATTATTTGGGTATGCTAGTGATCTTGATCAGAACTGGAGTCCCATTGTGCCAGGTACTACACAAATAAGGAACAGAAAATAGTCCCTGCACCAAAGAGCTAGCAATCTAAGGGTACGCCTACACAGCAACATGATTTAGAAATAACTAGCATTATTTCAAAATAACTTAGCCTGCGTCTACATGGCATGCAGTTATTTCAAAATAATGCTGAAATACTGTCAAGCTGAAAGACTTCTTACTCTGATTCCTGTAACCACCAATGTACAAGGAATAAGGGAAGTTGGAGGAAGAGTGCTCTATTTTGAAATACGTGCTGTGTAGACATTCCCAATTTCAAAATAAGCTACACAATTAATGTAGCTCAATTTGCATAGCATATTTTGATTTAAGCCCTGCTGTGGAGACGCACCCTAAAAGACAGCAGAAACAGAAATTGACAAACAGCAAATAAGTATCAGAAGTCTAGGCTGACATATCTTACAGTAAAACTGTTTAGGCATATATCCACCAACAGGAAAAGTTTGTATAGGAACATAAGAATTGCCCTACCAGATCAGATCAATTATCTAAATCTGATAATGGTCTGTACCAGGAACATTGTAAGAAGGTTCTATAATCCCTGCAATGGACAGATAGGAAGTAACTTTGCCCATAAGGAAAATTTTATTCTAAGCAGCCATCATTTGGCATATGAAACATGTATCCTCTGTATTTTTTAATCTCATCTAATGCAACTACGAATGTTTTCACTATCCATATACATTTCATGCACTGTACTGATGAATACGTCCGGCCTAAGCTTACATTTAAATGTGTATATTATCGAAAAGGGGGGGGGGGAAGGAATATAGACCTATCATGGTTGTCCAGGACCAGAAATAAATCAAATAGAAAAAAAAATCAGACTTTACTGACATACAGTATTTTGGACACACACTAACCTGATGAAACTAAAGCTAACGGAAGTTATTTACTTTAATCAGAGCACAACTACATGCTAAGTTATTCTGAGTGTGAAAGTCACTCAACTCACCTACAGGTGAAAGATTCCCACAGTATAACTCTGGCCTCAATTTCTACACAATTCTTGTTTGCTGTTTAAAACATCTGGCACCAAACCAGCTATGGTGTTTGGTGAGTACAAACTGAGTTGCAAGAAAAAGAGCAGCACAAATAGTTTAAATGTTGGGTTAGTTAATTTAGAGAATACCGAGTTCATGCTGCTCTGTCCCCGGTATAATCCTCTCTATTACATGAAGTCTGTTCTTGATTTTAGGTTTTATAAGCTGCAATATGGGGTGTTGATATTTTAAATGTGCATTCTATTTTAAATTACATTTCCTCCACTTACAGTAAAAATATAACTGGAGATTTTTTTAATGGATTTTTCACAGAGTCATACTTTTCAAAGTTAAGAGATTTATTTTCTTCTCCCTGTACTATCAGAACAGTCAATACATCAATATGAATTATGTGTGTATATTGACCAAACTGTCTTGGAATTTGGTCACTGTATAGTGATACTCAAAAAGCTCAATACTGAGGGACTACATGATTTGGGATTGAGCTACTGCCATCTGACAAAAGTAGAATGACCTTTGAGAACTTAAGTTTTATTGTCCCATAGGTCATTCTGCATCCTACCATTTCCTAGTAGAAGATGCAGAAATCTCAGCAGTTAAACCAAAGATTAAGGGCTACATATTGCCACCTTTATTTATAAAATCAAAGGACTACTTATATAGCAAGATGCTAGTCAACCACCACACAAAGCCCTGGTCTACATTAGAGAGTTATTTCAAGATAACCCCCCTTATTTTGAAATAAACAAAGGATCCACACTACCAAGTTCAAAATAACAGGCTGGTCATTACAAAAAATCTATATTCTTGCTTTCCCTGGGGAATAACACATATTTCAAAATAGTTATTTTGAAAGAGCATCCACACTAACAGTACACTGCTACTATTTCAAAATAACTACTTCCCAGACTAATTCAAAGTAATTATTCCCCAGTCCTTTCTGGGGCTCTAAGTCAAGGAAGCATGTCCACAATAATGGAGCCTGCCTCAGACTAATGTCGAGGCTCCCCCCATAGTGGGGACATGCTCTTTTGATTTTATTTTGGGTTTTGATTTTATTTCTAATTTAGTTATTTCAAAATGATTTCCTAGTGTAGACATGCCCTAAGGGTGGCAGAGTCTGACCCTAAACAAATATGGAAAAGAAATTTAATTATCTTCTCATGATCTGTCTCTCCAGATCATGATACAGACACTTTGTTGGCACAATACGGTGAAGTTTGTATTGTTGTTGCCTGTATTTTACGTATTTCCTTATGAATAAATAGAGTACTGTCATGCACCTCTTCATACATATAATGAAAGAGCAGAAATCAACACAACTTTGCTAATCAGTGGAACACATACAATAGGTTTCGCATGTCAGCATGAAAAATGAAATATAAGCACACACACCACACCCGTACATTAAATATCTGAGTTAGATGCATAAATCCTGTTTTCAATTTTATCTTTCCTTTTAATTTTCTATGCATACAAAATAATTATTTTTCTTGGCAGATCTATAATACACGAAGTACAGAAAACTTTCATACTGTAATTAACATGATACTTTGTGTGTGCCAATAGGACTTCAAAATATCCACCACTAACATACAATGCTATAAGCAGGATTAGGAGGGAAAACTTTTGAGACTGCTTGACAGTTACTGCCTTGTCAATAAGTACAACATAGATCATGAATCCCTGAAACTTCCTCTTGTGTGAAACCTTCCACCTTAGCTTTCACAAATTATTTGAGAACCGTATAAAAAAAATATAACTAAAATTTGCACATTTGAAAAGAGAAGTAGTCAATAGCTGGTAGAAGAACTGAATTCCTGCCAAATTACTTCAAACGAGACTCCATATTGTAAACACTTTCCAGGATTGGACCTACGGACTCTTACAGAGCAGTCATATCACCCATTCAGACTAAGGAAAAAAAATCTTAAAGTCTGTGGGAGTTTTACTGAATTAAGGGTTGAATGTTATGTTGTACTTTAAGTATCAATGTGTTTACATTTAAGCCATCAATGGATAAATATGCTACTGTTTCACTGCTGAAAACATGTCATGATATTTTTCAATTAACATGTCTGAGGAGACAAGGTAGGTGCAGTAATGTCTTTCATTGGAAAAATTTGTTTGGGGAAGAGTGTGTAGCTCGACCGCTTTTCTCTCTCATTGAGGCTGGTGCATAAAAAGATATTACCTCACCCATATTGTCTCACTAATATCCTGGGATAAATTCACAACAAGAACTCTGCATATACCTACAAATGCAGGATCTTGGGGAAGAAGGTGTCCTTTCATCACTTTGAATGTAGCTATTTTCTGGTAAAATAATGCAGAAGGTACATTCCCTCTTCTAGCAACTGCAGAGTAAACCTATTTCCAGAAAGAAAAATACAAGACCTAAATTACAATAAAGGGCATGTGGGAAGAAAGTGGTATCGATTCACCCACAACCCAGTGACTGTTCACTCCAGTGGAGCTATTCTCATTAAGTGCTCATTCATATAAAGATTGCACAGTTGTGACCAGCGTATACAAAAACCAATGAGAAATATTTCAAAAACATAGACTCATATGACTGTATCTAAGAGCATTTTAGCATTTTCATATTATCAAAATCACGTTATACTAGATTGGAGAGAAAAGAGTGGTGTAATGGTGTGAGACCAAGAAGGAAAGCAAGAATTAATGGACCCTACTTTCACCTCTACTACCTGCACTCTTCTCCAGAAACTCCTTTACTAACAGCAGGTAAAAACTTGAGTGAAATGGTATTTTGCCAATATAAAAACAATATTCTCACCTTTTTCACATAAATTTTCTGATGGTGTATAATGGTGGTTTAAAAAGAAGTTTATAAAAATATGTATTTTGGTTCCCTTTGTTTTTTGTAGCCAAATGCAAGTTATGGATTTATCCCTTGTACTTGAGCAAGTTTTCTTTGTAGCCACAGATTGTGAGCCAATGTGGACCTTGACCTTCTATTTATTTGAAAAAGTGACAGATCTTCAGTGACCAACATCTGATTAGACAAACTCTGAATGTCCCAGAGAAAACACTGGCCCTTATTTCTAAAGACAAGTATTTAAGAGAACCATGTCCAGCAATGCCTCACCCTGGGCGGAGGGCAATCCATAGGATTTATGGGACTCTACGCTATATGATTAAATTGATGTCCCTAAGCCTGATGGGGCAGCTGGGTGGATGGGGAAGACAATTTTTTAGATTTGTGCTTTTATAACCTTCAGCAAAATGCTAACAACATATTTTTAAAACAATTTTAAACTAGTCCTGTAAGTTTCTGAATGGACAACATATACCTGAAGTTTACAAATGTCTGTTAAATGACTTCATTACCAGTTGAATGGCTCTTTCGCAGGTTCAGGGTTCTGCTAATAGCTCTGGCAGGCTTTCACCAGATCCTCTGCAGAGGAAGCAAAGCCACAAACCAAGGAAAGGAAGAAGCAGATGTATGGACAGTCACATTAAGACCCAGTGGTTCCTCAAATTTTCAAGTGTCCTATGCAGGGTATGGATATGGGTATGGATAACTCTTCCTCAATATCTCTATTTAAATAGCTGAGTGCAGCCTTTAGTGGGGCATGCATAGGGTTATAAAATAACCATCTGATGCAGCTTCTCATATTATTGCAAAAGCGACGAGGAGTCCTGTGGCACCTAACACGGCTACCCCTCTGATACTTCATATTATTGCAATAAACATACATGTGGTGCAGGGACACCTCAGAGAACTATGTGGGTAGAGACGCTTCCTCCTATATCAGTAACTATGCCAAGGCACATTATGTTGCAATTAAAGTTGCCAGATGGTTTTGGAAAAAATACCAAATATCCCCCCTCCCCCAAAATATCCCAGGCCAGGAAAAAGTTTGTTGAGGGGAATAAAATAAAACAGCATGGCCCCTTTAAGTGTAAGAGGGGAGAGGTTGAGCACTAAGACCAGGGAAGGCGTTGCTTCTCCTTGCTTCAGGTCCTTAGGCTTTTTGCCAGTCGCCATCTTGTTTTCTTGATTGAGCCCCCCAGGTAAGCAGGGGGTGAGGGAGGGAGGAAGGCCAGGGGCTGGGCCCAGTGGCTGAGTGTGTCCTTGGGTTGCCAGGTGACGGGTATTTTCTGAATTTTTTTTTACCACACAGGAGAAGGTATTTTCTGAATTTTTTTTACCACACAGGAGATGAAAATACAGACAGTCCGTTTCAATACCAGACCCCTGGCAACCCTACGCATGGCCGTCCCTGGGGCCGGGACACATGGTTTTTAAAGGGGCAGCTGTAGCCTAGGCACCCGTGTGTTATAACCAGGAGGCTGCAACCGAGGCCTGCATAGCAGAGAGGTGCGACCTGCATCAGCTGGTTCCTTAGAAGCCAAGGCGGAGAGCTGACAGGAGGCGCAGCGCGAGTCGGCGGCCGGCCACCGCCTCTCCTCAAGCGACGGCTTGACAGGCTGGGGGGCGCGAGACTAACGGTCGCGAGAGGGGGAAAAGGCGCCAAAACAGTGGCGCGTGTCCTCCGAGGCGCGAGAACGAACCTAAAGGCCGCGAGAACACAACGCTCCAAACCCCACCCCCACCCCGGGAGCTGCGGCGCGTCACGGGGTCGCGAGTCCTTTGCGCGCCTCCTAGCGCGTCATGCGGGTCACCTGACGTGGCGCCGCTCGTCACGTCAAGCGGTCTAGCCAAGCTGTTGTGCCTCTTGGCTTTCTCGTTCGGCTCCGCAGATTCGCCACAGAGCAACCCTCCTTTCCCTGCCCTGACGGGAGACGATAAAAATTCCCTGGGTGTTGCGGGAGGGAGCCTGGCCAGGAATAAGCCAGGGGAGGGAGTGAAAAAGCGGGGGAGCTGGGGACTCCGTGTGGAATGTGCTGAGGCGGAAGAG